TGTCAAACAATTAAAAAATTAATAACAATCAAGAGATTAAAAAAATAATCACGATTAATCAGCTTTAATCGCATTGTTAAACAATAACAGAATACCATTTAAATATTTTTGGATATTTTCCACATTTTCAAATATATTGATTTCAATTACAACACAGAATACAAAGTGTACAGTGCTCACTTGATAGTATTATTTTTTATTACAAATATTTGCACTGTAAAAAAGATAAAAGAAATAGTATATTTCAATTCACCTCAGACAAGTACTGTAGTGCATCATCTCTTTATTGTGAAAGTGCAATTTACAAATGGAGATTTTTTTTGTTTTTGTTACATAAATGCATTCAAAAACAAAACAATGTAAAACTTCAGAGTCTACAAGTCCACTCAGTCCTACTTCTTGTTCAGCCAATCGCTAAGACAAACAAGTTTGTTTACATTTACGGGAGATAATTCTGCCCGCTTCTTATTTACAATGTCACTTGAAAGTGAGAATGGGCGTTCGCATGGCACTATTGTAACTGGCGTTGCAAGGTATTTACATGCCAGATATGCTCAACATTTGTATGCTCTTTCATGCTTCAACCACCATTCCCGAGAACATGCTTCCATGCTGATGACTGGCTCTGCTTGATAACGATCCAATGCAGTGCAGACTGACGCATGTTCATTTTCATCATTTGAGTCAGATGCCATGATTTTCTTTTTTGGTGGTTCGGGTTCTGTAGTTTCTGAATCACAGTGCTGCTCTTTTAAGACTTCTGACAGCATGTTCCACACCTCATCCCCCTCAGATTTGGGAAGGCACTTCAGATTCTTGAACCTTGGGTTGAGTGCTGTAGCTATCTTTAGAAATATCATCTTGGTACCTTCTTTGCATTTTGTCAAAACTGCAATGAAAGTGTTCTTAAATTGAACATGTGCTGGGTCACCACCCGAGACTGCCATAACATGAAATATATGGCAGAATGGGGTAAAACCACGAAGCAGGAGACCTACAATTCTCCCCAAGGAGTTCAGTCACAAATTTCATTAACGCACTTTTTTTAACAAGCGTCATCAGCATGGAAGCATGTCCTCTGGAATGGTGGCCGAAACATGAAGGGACATAGAAATGTTTAGCATGTCTGGCATGTAAATACCTTGCAAAGCCGGCTACAAAAAAGTGCCATGCGAACACCCGTTCTCACTTTCAGGTGACATTGTAAATAAGAAGCGGGCAGAAGTATCTCCCGTAAATGTAAACAAACTTGTCTGTCTTAACGATTGGCTGAACAAGAAGTAGGACTGTGTGGACTTATAGGCTCTAAAGTTTTACATTGTTTTGAGTGCAGTTACATAACAAAAACAAAAAAATGTCTATTTGTAAGTTGCACTTTCACGATAGAGATTGCACTACAGTACTTGTCTGAGGTGAACTGAAAAATACTGTTTCTTTTATCTTTTTTACAGTGCAAATATTTGTAATAAAAATAATACTATCAAGTGAGCACTGTACACTTTGTATTCTGTGTTGTAACTGAAATCAATATATTTACAAACATAGAAAAACATCCAAAATATTTATAATAAATTTAAATTGGTATTCTATTATTGTTTAACAGTGTGATTAAAACTGCAATTAATCATGATTAATTTTTTTAATCAAGTGAATTTTATTTGAGTTAATTGCTTGAGTTAACTGTGTTTGATAGCCCTAATTATATGTTCCATGAACAGATTCTGTCCAATCAGCTGTAGCTAGATCGTAAACAGTGACTGTTAGTCATCCGACCAAACATGTAAAAGAGAGAATTTGGGTCTAGTATGCTAATTAACGCTTTAAATAAGTAGTTACTAGTGTAATTTTTATACCCTTATCTATTCCTACCAAGAGTTGTGATAACATTTAATAAATAATATAACAACAATAACAATATAATATAATATGTAACAGGATGCCAGAGAGCTTGGAAACCTCCTCAGCTTTGTGCTAAACTATTTTGAGCTTTACACATTCCTTTAACAGGTATCTTGATAAAAATCTATTGTATACTCAGAGTTAGGGCACAATGGCCCCCTTTTCTCTATTAAACTGAAAGATAATCCTGTGGCATTCAGTGGGGACTCAGCACATTTGAAAATCAGGCCACTAACTTAAGAACCTATGTATGAATTGAGAAGACTAAACCTAGACTCCTACTTCTGAAGATCTTGGCCTTGACTATTCTGTTTGAGGCAATTATCTTTTACCCCTGTACATGATTGTATCTTTCTAATAGGTTAAGAGTGAGCTTTTCTTTGTTTGCAATCGATTAGTGTTACTGTATCATGCTCATTAAGGGCATGATCCAACTCCCACTGAACTCAAAGTCTCTCCATTGATTTCTATGAGACTTGCATCAGGCTTATTATAAAATTAAAAAAACACCTTTATGTATTGTCAATATTGTAATTGCTGCCTACATTTTATAAGGAAAATCTTTAATGACCTGGAAGTATAACCAGATATTTAATTTATGTTTTATTATTCTACTAGCTAAAAATAGCTGGGATCAATTTTTTTCTTATCTCAATTTTTGTACTCTGTATGTTTCAAGATGTATGAGTTATGATATATTTTCCACTTATTAAAGAAGAGAATTTGAATGTGCTGTCCATACACACACACACACACATATATTATATTCTATTTTCTGTTGGCATTTACAAAATAAGAGGCCCTATGGTAATTTTTCTTTGCTTTGTCCTGTATTTCACCAACACAATTTCAGTTTAAACAGCAAGTGTTAAAGGTACTCTTTTAGGCAGCAGTGTTTATTGTGAAGAATCATATTTGGGATTATAAAAAAATCTTGACTATTACTGATAAAAGCATCACTTCATTTTTTCTATTACTTTCTATGGAAAATCTACAGTATCTATTTTCAGGAAATGGATTAACTTTCTATTGAGTCCAGTAATCTAAACTTTGCATGGAAGTTTAAAGATTAAATGCCTAGTGCCTGCAATAAAGTTGACAATTTCCATTACAAGTTCATTTCCTTTAAAAATATTCTCCCCATAAAGTAATTTTGTTTTCTGATTTCACAGACTGGAAATGTGTCAGTTTCTTGAACCAACAGAGTTATCTGAGGTACCATAAATATGCAGTCTTGTAGCCGTGTTGGTCCCAGGATATTAGCGAGACAAGGCGGGTGAGGTAATACTTTTATTAGACCAGCATACAAAGACCTCTTCTTCAGGTCTGGGAAACTAAGGCTTTGTCTACACTAGCCCTTTTGTCAGTAAAACTTTTGCCGGTTGGGGTATGAAAAAATACACCCCTGACCGACATAAGTTGCACCAACAAAAGTGCCAGTGTGGACAGCTATGTCCACAGACAGAAATGCTCTCCCACCAACATAGCTACCACTGCTTGTTTGGGGTGGTTTAATTATGCCGGCAGGAAAGTTCTCTCTCGCTGGCATAGAGCGGCTACAAGGGAGACCTTACAGCGGCGCAGCTGCAGCAGTACAGCTAACTCCGTGCCAGTCCAGTTTTCCTGGGGGAGGTGGAAGAGTCACCCCGAGACCTTGAGCGGTCTCGACTGGTCTTATACGACCTTTTCCTCGGCAGTCGACAGGGAACGGCTCCTCTGCTTCTTCAGAGAGGTGCCTGCTCTGGAATGTGAAGTGGAAGCACACTTAGAACCCCATGACAGTCTCCAACCTAACGAGCGCCTCAGTACCGAAGCAGGGGACCACAGTTGGGAATTGCTCCCCCTCATGAAGAACAGTGTTTAAAACCCCATGAGGGCATCACCAAGAAAATCTAAATCATCATAACTAATGCTAATCTAACACTCAGGGTTCTACTAACTATTTACAAGAGAAAACTAAACTAGTTGAGAGGTTGTGAGGTTAAGACCACACAGAACTCTGATTCCAGCCATGGCTGGTGCAAAGGAACTGAGGGAGGTTTGGAGCAGCGCCGCCTCATATAGCCAGAGGAGAGGCTACAGCCACATGGTGCTAGTGCTGCCCCTCTACAAGTACTGGTAGACAAATTTACACTGGGTGCGCATACACCTAAGTGGAATGCATGGCTGTGTCTACTTGAAGTTTTCAATTACTGCTATGTTCTTTTTTTTATTCGTAAACATCTATATCAAAAAGTAGATTTGCAGATATTTTAATTAAGAAAGAAATCACTGAGTAGATCCAAGTTTCAGGGGATTGAATTGCTTCTTAATTAAGCAGTAAGCTTCAATAATCTAAACATTACTTTGAGATATCAACTCTATTTGATTAACATTCCTAGGCAGAGAACTGTATCTCAACTAATTCGCTATTATCACCACTTATAATGTGGGTGTTATGAATGTTTGAGATAACATGAAGATGCATAGAATTAAGCAAGGCTGTCTCATTCTAGTGTAGGATAATAGCCACCAAAATAAGGCTTCAAATTTGCAATGAGTTTAACGTGAGTAGATTGCTTTACTCACATGAAGCTCCACTGAAGTCACTGAAATGTATACATTTTAATTTCACATACATTGACAATAACTTTTCTATAACACTAGTCAAAGTGTCTATTTTTAAAAACTAGCTTTAAATTTGTTTTAAAATTTAGATTGTTTTAAAAACTAGCTTAAACGCACCTTGCTCCTTTCAGCCCAAACAATTAATACAAAACCTCAGTTAGTTAAATAAGCACTTTTCATTTAAAAATGTGATTTATTTTTAAGGAGAACGCAAGGAAGTTCCTTATCTCTACAAAGTCAATAATTTCCCTGTTCAGGAATATATGTATCCCCTCATTTTCCCTACGGTTTGCATTATTCACTGGCTGTATACATTATGACACACTATTATTCTAGTCTTTAATTTAGAGACAACTGCATGGCTTCCTCATGCCTCCCCACGCCTTCCTGGGAATTTCACTAATAAATCATTGTACTGTATTTATGTAACAAGTTGCATTTCACATGTAGTCTCCAAACAATCTGTATTTCAAAGGTAGTTGAAAGACACATACCTAGAGGGTTTCTTGTCTTTGGCATCACATAATAGAAGCTCTTTGCAAGGAGATTTATTTTCTGTATCTTCCTGCTTTGTCGTCTCTGACACAGATTTCCCAGATGATCGATTATGAGCTGAAGATTTTGAGCCAGTGTGACCAGGGCTAGGACATTTTCTGTCACTATTAAAACAAATTGATAAAGTTTTGAAATCTGAGCTGTCAGTTTATTTTCTATGTGGTTGAAGATTCATTGCTGTAATTAAAGAAATACCGATACAGCAAGAAATCATATATTTAAAGAAAAATAAAATGTCCTTCCCTACTACTAACAAAACTTTACAAACTGACAAAACTGGAGCTCCAGCTCCAGCCGCAACTTCAAAGCACTAGGTATACAGCTATTTTTAGAGGACTAGCACCAGCCCTCCTAGCTCAAGTCTGTCGACCTGGGCTTGGAGGCTCACTGCCACTTGCTCCAAAATGCGATGTAAATTTATCCGTATTGTCACAGGTAAAACTCCCACTGACTTCAAGCCTACCAGTATAATATGAATACAAAAGAATTTTAAAATTTCTTTTCATAGTTTTGGCTTTTAAAAAAAAATGTAAGCATTCTTGTGTCGTGGACAATCAAAATAGATTAGGGCCTGATACTATTCCCATTGAAGTGAAGTTACTGTAGGCACCAATGGAACTAGTCAGTTTGTAGTCAATTTCACTTTCTAGTGAAATTACATTAGCACAATCCTACAATTTGGGGATAATTTAACCAGACAGTGAACTTTTAATAGCTGAATACCCTCTTTGTTTTTAACTTAAAGTGGGGCTGCTCCATGAAAACAGCATTTTAAATACTACATATTCAAAATTCAAGGGCATTATAAGTGAAAACGGAGTGAAATTCTGGAGTGTAAAAATGTCACCATTAGCACATTTCACTCAAATATAGCCCTTAGAAATATTGCAAACCCCTCCCCACTCCAGGTGTTTGCAATTGATTTTGGTGTAAAAGCCTGTTGAAAAAACTGTTGAAAATAAACATATAAGGAGCCCCTTGCCACCGCAACCATTTTCTCCCCAGTACTTCTAATAAAAAACAGTTACTAACCTGTCCAAAACTGTTGCTCTTTGAGAGGTCTTGCTCATGTCCATTCCACGTTAGGTGTGCGTGCGCAGTGTGCACCGTCGCCAGAGATTTCTGCCTCAGTGATATCGGTCAGACAAGCTCTAGCGACCTCTGGTGCCCCGCGCTCAAGCGCCGGTATAAGGAGCTGGATGGCTCCACATCCTCTCAGTTCCTTTTTGGTAGCTAACTCTGACAAAGGGGCAGGAGGGTGGATCGTGGAATGGACATGAGCAACACATCTCGAAGAACAGTAGTTATGGAAAGGTTAGTAACTCTCTTCTCTTCTTCGAGTGCTTGGTCATGTCCATTCCACGTTATGTGACTCCCCAGGGGTACCCGAGGAGGTGGGCTCAGAGTTCATGGACACGTGGATTGCAACACTACTCTCCCAAACTTGGCATTATCTCTTGCCTGCTGGGTGATAGTGTACTGGGAGGAGAACGTATTTAACAATGACCAGGTCACTGCTCTGCAGATGTCTTGGATTGGGACCTTGGCCAGAAACGCCGCTAACGAAGCCTAAGCTCTTCTTGAATGAGCATTCAAGATGGCAGGAGGTGGGACGCCTGCCTGCTCATAGCACATACAAATGCAGGAAGTGATCCAGGATGAAATTATCTGGGCTAAAAGCAATAGGCCTTTCATCCTGTCTGCTACTGCCACAAAGAGGAGCATGGATTTATGGAATGGCTTGGTCCTCTTAATGTAGAAGGCCAGGGAGTGTCTAACATCCAGCATTTGGAGACAGTTCCTCTGAATTCTTGTGCGATTTCGGGAAGAAAACAGACCGGAAAATAGTTTGATTATTATGAAACTGCGAGACCATCTTTGGGAGGAATGCTGGGTGGGGGTGCAATTGAACCATGTCCTTATAGAACACTGTATATGCGGGTTCCAATGTAAGGGCCCTGATTTCTGAGACCCTCCTGGCCAAGGTAATTGCTACCAGGAAGGCAACCTTCCAGGAGAGATACGACTGAGGGCACAATGCCAACGGCTCAAAGGGAGGACCCGTGAGTCTTACCAGGACTAGGTTTAGGTCCCATGGTGGGATAGGATTGCAAATTTGAGGGTAAAGTCGCTTAATTCCTTGAGGAAGCAGATGGATATTTTGTGTGAGAAGACAAACCTACCGTCCACTGGAGGGCTGAGATAGCCACCAGATGCACCTTGAGAGATGAAAGGGCTAGGCCCTGTTGTTTCAGATAGAGCAAGTATTCCAGCACGAACTGGAAGGGTGACTGAATTGGTGAGAATCCTCATAGGGAAGACCACACCGAGAAATGCTTCCACTTGGCTAGATAAGTCACTCTAGTAGACAGTTTCCTACTACCTAGCAAGACCTGACGGACTTGTTCTGAAGAGGCCTGCTCCGCCAGGTTCAACTATGGAGCTTCAACGTGGTCAGGTAGAGGATCCTGAGGTTGAAATGGAATAAACGTGTGATCTTGCGAGATCAAGTCCAGGAGGGTTGGGAGTGGCAGCAGGGGTGCTACTGACAGATCCAGCAGCGTGCCAAAGCAGTGTTGTCACGGCCATGCTGGGGCTATAAGGATGACCCTTGCTTTGTCTCGCTGACTTTCAGAAGGACCTTGTGCACCAGAAGAATGCGAGAAAACACACAGAACAGGAGTTCTGTCTGTGCAAGTAGGAAGGCATCTGAGAGAGCCAGGGCTGTGACTGTGCAGTGAGCAAAACTGATGGCATTTCCTGTTCTGTTAGGTTGCGAACAGGTCTACAGGGGAGATCCCCACCTCTGGAAGATGGATCCTGTCTCCTCTGAGTGAAGGGATTACTCATGGTGAGAAGAGAAAAAGACCTGCTGAGGTGATCTGCCAGAGCATTCCAGGCTCCCAGAAGATGGGAAGCTTCGAGGTGGATGGAGTGTTTCATACAGAAGTCCCACAGGTGAATGGCCTCTTGATACAGGGTAGACGAACACACTCTTTCCTGTCTGTTGATGTAAAACATGGCTGCCATGTTGTCCATAAGCACTCATACAACTTAGTCCGTAATCTGGGGTAGGAACACTTGGCAAATTAAGCAGACCGCTCTGAGCTCACTGACGTTTAAGTGCAAGGAGAGCTCTTCCTGGGACCACAGGTCCTGAGGTGCTTGAGGTGAGCCCCCCAACCTAGTTTGGATGCATCTGAAATTAGGGATATGGAAGGTCGGGGGGTAACAAAGTTAACGCCTGCACATACTGAACGGGGATCTCTCTCCACCAGTCGAGAGAGATGAGGACCAAGATGGGGACTGTAAGCACCTATTCCAAGTGGTGATGGTTTGGTGAGTAAACATAAGCTAGCCAAACTTGAAGGGGTCTGAGGTGTAGTCTTGTGTGTGGTATCACGTAAATGCACACAGCCATGTGACCCAAAAGTTTGAGGCAAAAAATGGACTGTCGTGACCAGGTTGGCCTTGACCTTGGATATCAAAGCCGACATTGTTTGGAACCAAGACTCTGGGAGGAAGGCTCTGGGCCAGGTAGAATCGAGCACCATTCCAATAACCTCTATCCGCTGGAGGGAACGAGAGTCAACTTTTGCTCATTTATCAATAGGCCCAGGGCACGGAAGGTGGCTTGGACCAGGCTGATGCTGGCTTTCACTTGAGCCTCGGACCAGCCCTTGATCACCGCCAGTCATCAAGGTAATGATAGACTTGAATGGTGTGCCTTCTGAGGAAGGCTGCCATCACCAGCATGCATTTTTTGAAAACCCGAGGGGCTGCCAACAGGCCAAAGGGCAGGATGGTGAACTGGCAATAAGTTGGTTTACAATAAATCTGAGGAATCTTCTGTGGCCCTGGAAGATGGAGATGTGGAAATAGGCATCTTTCGAGTCGAGGCATACCAGTCTCCTGGAACCAGGGAGGGAATAATGGAGACCAGGGAGACCATGTGGAACCTCAGTTTCCTGAGATAACTGTTGAGGCAACGCATGACTAGGATGGGTCGAAGCCTCCACCCCCCTCCCTTGGCTTTATAATGGCGGGAGTAAATCCCTTTCCCTCTCAAATTCTGAGGCAGTTCCTCCACAGCCTCTACCTGCAGGAATAGGACTAGAACCTCCTAGACTAGAAGTTGTTCATAAGAGGGATGGGGGATGGAAGGGAGGGGTGGAAGAAATCTGAAGGGTGTAACCTTTTTCCACCATACTCAGCACCCAATGGTCCGAGATGATGAGGGACAATGACAGGCTGAAGTGGGAGAGTTGATCTGAAAACAAAAAGGTGGCAAGATCCGGTAAGGGAACTGATACAACACCCTCGGGCGCCCCTTCAAAAGTTGTTTGGGGCCTCCCAGGTATCTGTGAATCTGGTAGTGAGGATGAGGTGGAGGGGGGCAGCTGCCTGTGCTCGTAACCCCTGCTCCGTTTTGAAACGGGTCCTGGCGAGACACCAGAGCCGAGAAGCGGGTTGGCTGTTGAGGTCTGAAATGATTCTTTGAAGGTGCTGGGGAGTAGAGGCCCATGGAGCTGAGGGTAGGCCTGGAATCTTTCCGACCGTGGAGTTTTGAATCTGTCTGCTCAGAGAAGAGGGAAGTTCCCTCAAAGGAAAAATCTTGGATGGACTGCTCAGGTGGAACCCCCAAGACTGGAGCCAGAGCACCTCCTCATGACCTCAGCCGAAGCCATTGTTCTGGCTGCCACATCAGCTGCGGCTAGGGCTGCTTGGAAGGAGGCCCTGGCTATGGTCTTCCATTCCTCCATCACAGCGGAGAACTTTTGCCTGAAGTCCTGTGGCAATGAGTCCTTAAACTTTGCCATCAAGTCCCAAATGTTATAATCATACTTCCCAAGCAAGCCCTGCTGGTTGGAGATGCAAACCTGTAATTCACCCATAGAATAAATCTTTCTACCGAACAGCTTTTTAAAGTCCTTTTGCTTGGGGGTCGTGCCTAGCTGCCCTTGTCTGGCTCTCTCATTGGCCACTGTGACCGCAAGGGACCCGGGAGGAGGGTGAGAATTCAGGTATTCATGTCCCTTGGCAGGAATGTAGTACCTTTTCCCTGCTCTCTTTGAGGTGGGAGGCAGAGAGGATGGGGACTGCCATAGGGACCTGACTGGACCCATAACGATGTCATTGAGGGGTAGGGCCACTTTCGATGGGGCCCTGGCAGCCAAAATGTCAATGAGGCTATGTGAGAACTCTTTAAGAACCTCCACCTCTAGCCCCAGGTTAGAAGCCACAATAGGAGGAAGAGACCTCTATTGGTGGGGGGCCTTCCTCCTCCTCTTCTGCACTGATCACATATGACAGGCCTAAATCCCGAGTGTCGGTACTGAGCTTGGTACCGGAGTCTGGGTGAGGTGCCAGATGGCGTGGGAGTCCTTCTCTTGGACACCACTGAGTATGAACAGCTGGAAGGGAGAAAACCCCACAGATTCCAAAATGGCCATTGGACCTGCCAGGTGCTGCGGGCGGCACCCGTGCTGAGATCCAGTGGGATGTAAGTTAAGTACTAGTGACGGCCCCTTGGTTGTGTGCAGGACTCCACCTCCAAGTCAGAGGATGAGTCATCTTGAGGAGACCATGGGAGGGGGCGGTACCCCTTGCTTCTGCCAGCTGCTGCTGAGGGGCTGAGAAGTCTTTGCCTATGACGGTAGGGCCAGTTTCCCCCAATCAGTACCAGAGGATCCAGTGCTCATTAGGAGCTCTGGGTAACCTGTTCCCTTCTGCTCGATGCTCTCGTCGGCACTGGTCAGCAGAACCTGGAGTGTCATCAGTTCTTGGACACTGCAAAGGCCTCCGAGGTGAATGGCATCACAATCCCGCTGGCGCCACAATATTCCCCCGCTGTCAGTGGACAGTCCTGCACCAGACTCAGTGGCACCTGTGAGCAGGGTTGAGTCAACGGTGTTGCTAGTGGAGCGGGAGTGTCCCGACAGTCCCTGCACAGTCCGCTGCACTCCCCTTGCTTGTCCTTTCTTGGTTCCAGGGAGCGTCCCCTCTCAGACCATGTTTCTTGTGTTTCTTTCTCAGTATCAGAGCGGTTAAGCGGTGCCGAGAAGCGTGTTGCCAGAGGAGCACTTCACACCGAAACCGAGGTGCTCGCTGCCAAGTCCGACTAGCTTGGCTCCAACGCCAGCCTATCAGCTTTTATCAGGCTAGCCCTTAGTCTAGCCTCCCTGTCCTTTTTTGTACAAGGCTGAATTTTTAGCAGGTTTGACAATGCTCTTGTACGTGAGCTTCCCTCAGACACTTCAGACAGCTGGAGTGTAGGTCGCTCACCAGCATGGGCTTGCTGCAGGAGGTGCAGGGTTTGAAGCCTGGAGACCGGGGCATGCCCGGCCCCAGGGGCACAGGATGTTCCTCTAAGCTACAAGAGGGGGGGGTCTAACTGTATTCACTAATACTATATAGACTACTACTAGAAATTAAATCTGAACATAACGAAATCACTGACTGATTGTCTTGCCGAAGCAAGAGAAGTTGTTTCTGCGACTGTCATGAGTAGTAAGAAAGAACTGAGAGGGTGCGGGGTTGGCCGGGTCCCTTATATTGGCGCATGAGCGCGCAGCATCACAGGGCACTAGAGCAAGCGTGACAGATACCACTGAGGGAAAAATCTCCAGCAACGGCGCATGCAGAGCGTGCACACCTAACATGGAACAGACATGAGCAAGCACTCGAAGAAGAATAAATCGCCCCAGGGCCATAACTCCATACCTGTTGCTGCTCTTGCAAAACTCACCCCCAATAATTTGATTCCCCACTTTCCTCCCCAATAAAACCAAATTTATTAGGGCTGAAACAACGAGGAGTCTTGTGGCACCTTAAAGGCTAACAAATGTATTAGAGCATAAGCTTTCGTGGGCTTTCTGAAGAAGTAGGTCATAGCCCACGAAAGCTTATGCTCTAATACATTTGTTAGTCTTTAGGGTGCCACAAGACTCCTCGTTGTTTTTGCTGAAACAGACTAACACGGCTACCCCGCTAAAATTTATTAGGGCTGTTTTTCAAGCATCAACACTCATATATACACACACATTAGTGAAACTGCTCTAGCAAATGTAAAAATAAAATGAAATTTCCACAAGTGAAATAAATCATTAAACAACTGATTTTAAACAATAATTAACATCTTAATGGTCTGTACACTTAGCAGGAGTGAAAATGCACTCTTGCTAAATCATACATAATGAAATCAACATCAATTTTTGTCAGCTTAATCATCTGCAGGCTCAGCTCTGACAGGGCCATTTCTTCTCTGGAAATGGTAATGCAGAGAAAAGCACAGGCCTTTCGAGACAATACAGCCTTCAAGTTCTGTAAATTATGTAATATAGCATTTAAATAAAATGATATTATTGTAAGTTGTTAATACTATTTAGATCTTAATTACTTGATTACAGGAGAGGCTGATCTTTCATTTACTTCTGTCTTTCTGTTCTTGGGGACAGATGGACTGGCTAGCGGCATCTCTCCACTTAAACGATCTGGTAAGATTTGTTCTTTGTTCAAGTTGACGTCAGAATACGGGCAGCTGACACCACCAAAAATTGAAGAGGAGAGGAGAAATACTTCCATTAGCTCAGACACTGAACAAACTTTCCTTAGTTTAAAGTGAACTGACTATAGATTCCAGCCTGAAAAAATGAACAACAAAGATGGAAAGAAATGCCTTGGTGTATTCTCACTTTAAAATATTATCAAATACACTAGATTTTTGACATGCCAACCTGTTTGCATCTATCTTACTCTTTCTTTCTACAGCAATTTACTACCACAGAACCAGTATTATGGCATAAATTCTAGAAACCAACAGAAACCCAAGCACGGATGGATGTTGGTTAAAACACCATCTAAAAGTGAAAACCGGAACTGTGCTACTAACCAAACTCAAGTAGCAAATATTTCCTTTTACTTCACAAAGAAGCAAACGCGCTGTGTTGGAATCAACAGACTCATGCTACCATGGTTATTTGTCCTACAATACACTTTACAGAAAGAGTTACCACTACACTATTCAACTGTGACTGGGAACAGTGATTGGCCCACATTCTAATTGGCTGTTAGCATTTTTAAAATTATGTGACATTAAAAAAATACGTTAAAAGAATGTTATTTATATTACAAAGCCAAGCACTTGAAAGTTAGGAAATGCCAGATTTACAGTTGTTCACAACTTGGCCCATCCTGTGCAGTGAATGAGGCAGGGGTCCTGTGGAAAAAGTAGTGTATGATCATGTAATTAAAGGCATTATCATAATACACACAAGGGGGATGAATTAAGATTGCCTGGGTAACCCTAAAACAGACATTTACTAACTTTAAAGTCCTTGACTTTGCAACCTAAATAGCATAGTTTTCATATTGGGAATTTCCTAGTTTATTTTTAAAATGAGCAATTGTAAAACTCTATTTCATTATGTGCAGCAGTAACAATCTCCCCATCCTCTATCATCAGCAGAACCCTAAAACTTCAGCATCGCCCTACCTGGCAAACTACATTAGATGGCAGCAGGAGAAGGCTGTTATCGCACACAGGAAAATGGGCTGCTGACGCTATGTACCGGGTCCAGAGAATGGTCAAGGAGAGCCCAGTCAAGCTCTCTCTCTCTTTCCCACCCTGGGAGATGAAGGACTCCTGTTCCAAGAGGTGTCCCTAGATGTAAGGGAGCTGAGCCTTGTGTAAGATCTGGAGAACTTACAGAGCTCATCTCTCTCCCCTTCACACTAGAAGTTAGAGCAGTTCGTGCCTATGTGCTGCCCCTGGGAATGGAGGGGATAGGAAACTGGAGCCATATTCTGTGTCTGAGGGGACTATGAGGGCAGCCCAGTTTGGCTCTTTCTTGCCCACTGCCCGGGCTTAAGGAAGTTCCTCCTTGAAATGATGCCCTCAAGGAGGAGGGATGGGATGTGTGCCAGGTCCAAGGAGGAGGAGCTGCTGGGGAAGCCCAGCTTTCTCTTCCACTCTCCTGCTATATCTGCTTTGGCAGCTCCCAGCTGTTCAGTGCAATGTCTGCTGCTACAGCTGCTTTGGCAGGAATGGGAGCTCAGCCTCAGGATGTTCACTGATTTTGGCAGGCTGCACCAATGTTTTCCCGAGGAATTCAAGTTAGAGAAGGAAATGGTGATTTTTAACCTCTTACAACATTATGTCCACAAGGCCATGTGACCCAAGAGCTGAAAGCAAGCACACCCTGTTGTCATTGGGTGGGACCTGAAGCTTTGGGAAAGGAAGGCTATGGACTGACACCTTTTCATTGGGAGGTAAGCTGTGGCAGTCCTGAAGTTGAGGACTGCTCCTATTAAGGTTATGTGCTATACTGATTGTTACTTAGATTTGTCCAAATTCAGTTTCAGGTCCAGACAGGAAATCAGCTTCCTGATGATTAAGATATTGTTTTGGATCTGGTTGCTTGATGCTCCATGAATTAGCTAATCATCAAGGTATGGAACTACTTGAACACCAGAACGATGGACATGGGTTGCTACTACTGCCTTGCACTTGGTGAAGACCCCTGGGGCAGATGACAGTCTGAAGAAAGTATCGCCATGTGGAAGTATGATCTGCAGATCAAGGGCAGGGCAGGGAAGGGATGAAAGAGGCAAGAATGATCATCCTGAACTTGATTTTTTTGATTAAATAATTTGCTTTCTTAAACCTAGAATGGAATGGAGCCTACCAGATTTCTTTGGGACCAGGAAGTACTGGGAATAGAAGCCTTTGCCTCTGTGTTGGTAAGAAACTTCTTCTGTTACTCCCAGTTCTAGAAGAGACTATCGTTCTTGAACTAACACAATCTAGGAGAAGGGTCCCTGAAAAGGAAAGAGGAAGGTGGGTTGGGAAAGGAGAGGGAGGTAAACTAGCTAACGTATCCCTGACTCACTATGCAGAATACCCATTTGCTTGACGTGATGCTTTCCCAAGCACAGTGAAAAAGGGAGAGGCATGATCTGAAGGGAGAAGATATGCTGTCCTTGATTAAGAAGTCAAAATGATTGCTTGGATGCTACAGCTGTTGGGTGAGAAGGGCTTCCTGCTGATGAAGATGGTTGGTGATGTTGAGGAACCCTGGAGCTTCTTTTAGAGACATACTGTGACCTCTGTTCAAAAGAGGGTCAGGAATAAGATGACAGTCTAAATCAGTGGTTTTCAAACATTTTTTCTGGGGACCCAGTTGAAGAAAACTGTTGATGCCCATGTCCCAACGGAGCTAGGGATGAGAGGTCTGGGTTGTGGGAGAGGCTCAGGGCTGGGGCAAAGGATTGGGATGCAGGGGTGAGGGCTGGGGCCAGGAATGAGGGGTTCAGGGTGGGGAGGAGGGTCTGGGCTGGGGCAGAGGGTTGGGTTGCACGAGGGGATCAGGGCTCTGGGCTGGGCGTGCAGCTGGGGATGAGGGGTTTGGGGTGCACGAGGGGGTCAGGATTTGGGGGGGGTCAGGGCTGGGGCAGGAGTTTGGGGTGCAGGAAGAGGGCTCAGGGCTGGGACAGGGGGTTGGGACATGGGCTTACCGGTCAGCGGTGAGCCAGGATGCAGAAGCAGGCTTCCTGCCTGTCCTGGCCCCACGGACCCCGCTGTGCCCTGGAAGCAGCCAGCAGCAGGACCAGCTCCTAGGCGGAAATGCACGCAAGCGGCTCCACGCGGCTCTCGCCTGCAGGCACTGGGCCTCCCCGCCCCAGAGAGTGCAAAACCGGTGCTCGGGGCGGGAGCAGCCCCGTGGACACCGCCTAGAAGCTGGACCTGCTGCTGGCTGCTTCCGGGGTGCAGCGCATTGTTGAAACAGGGAGGCACTAGCCTGCCACAGTTGGGCAGCACCGCTGACAGGACTTTTAATGTCCCGGTCGGCGGCGATGACCAGCGCCGCTAGGGTCCCTGGGTGCTGAGCAAGGTGACCCAGTGCCTTACATGCCTCGACCCAGAAAATTGAAAAACACTGGTCTAAATTGTTTCCTTTTTGTAACCTGAGTGTAAACTCTGAATGAATGATGCACTGCACAAGAGTCCTTTAGTGTATGCATAGTGTCATCTGTTTTGGCAGAAAACAGTTTAGACCGCTCCAAAGGTAAATCTTCTATTGTATTCTGCTGCTCCCTTGGAATGCCAGTTGCCTGAAGTCAGGATGAATGCCGCATGGAGATTGCAGCAGCTACAAAACATGAGGCCATATCAGCAGCGTCTAAGATGTTCCTTGGAAACCAAAGTGAAAAACTGTTCCCCGTATTCTTCTGGCAGCTTTGTCAGCAAAGTTAGAAATTGCACAAAAATTATTAAAATCATATTTTGACAAAATATCCTGATAATTTGCAATGCTCATTTGAAGACTGGCGGTGGAATAAAACTTCCATAGATTCAAGGAATGGAAGGGACCTCGAGATGTCATCGAGTCCAGTCCCCTGCCCTCATGGCAGGACCAAATACTGTCTAGACCAGGGGTCGGCAATGTTCGGCACGCGGCTCGCCAGGGTAAGCACCCTAGCGGGCCGGGCCAGTTTATTTACCTGCTGACGCGGCAGGTTCGGCCGATCGCGGCCCCCACTCGCCACGGTTCACTGTCCCGGGCCAACGGGGGCGGCGGGAAGCGGCGCGGGCCGAGGGATGTGCTGGCCATGGCTTCCCGCCACTCCCGTTGGCCCAGGATGGCGAACCGCGGCCAGTGGGGGCCACGATCAGCCGAACCTGCCACGTCAGCAGGTAAATAAACTGGCCCGGCCTGCTAGGGTGCTTACCCTGGCGAGCCGCGTGCCGAACGTTGCCGACCCCTGGTCTAGACCATCCCTGACAGACATTTATCTAACCTACTCTTAAATATCTCCAGAGATGGAGATTCCACAACCTCCCTAGGCAATTTATTCCAGTGTTTAACCACCCTGACAGTTAGGAACTTTTTCCTAATGTCCAACCTAAACCTCCCTTGCTGCAATTTAAGCCCATTGCTTCTTGTTCTATCCTTAGAGGCTAAGGTGAACAAGTTTTCTCCCCCCTCTTTATGACACCCTTTTAGACACCTGAAAACTGCTATCATGTCCCCTCTCAGTCCTCTCTTTTCCAAACTAAACAAACCCAATTCTTTCAGCCTTCCTTCATAGGTCATGTTCTCAAGACCTTTAATCATTCTTGTTGCTCTTCTCTGGACCCTCTCCAATTTCTCCACATCTTTCTTGAAATGTGGTGCCCAGAACTGGACACAATACTCCAGTTGAGGCCTAACCAGCACAGAGTAGAGCGGAAGAATGACTTCTCGTGTCTTGCTCACAACACACCTGTTAATACATCCCAGAATCATGTTTGCTATTTTTGCAACAGCATCACACTGTTGACTCATATTTAGCTTGTGGTCCACTATAACCCCTAGATCCCTTTCTGTCGTACTCCTTCCTAGACAGTCTCTTCCCATTCTGTATGTGTGAAACTGATTTTTCCTTCCTAAGTGGAGCACTTTGCATTTGTCTTTGTTAAACTTCATCCTGTTTACCTCAGACCATTTCTCCAATTTGTCCAGATCATTTTGAATTATGACCCTGTCCTCCAAAGCAGTT